AGAGAGAGAGAGAGAGAGAGAGAGAGAGAGAGAGAGAGAGGAGAGAGTAGAAAGGGGACCACACAGAGGGAGAGATGTTAAATGGGGTAGATAGGTAAGATAATTTGTGAGACATAAATACAGAAGGTAGGTCTATCTGGGGAGAAGGGTTCCTGCAAGAAGAGTGATAACAAAAACTAAAGTATAATGACAGAGTAGACAATTCCATGAATATATATATATATATATATATATATATAGAAGGAAAACTCCATAATGACACCTATCACTTTGTATACCAACTCTAAACATTGTTTCTAAAAGTTATGAATCTCATTACCATGTTTGCTGTCTTGGGATCTGTCTGAATTTTGTTGTGGTAGAATGTTTTCATGTCTGAAAGGCAGAGACCCTAAGAAGTACTCTACTTAGAATGGCCAAGGTTCTGTGAAAATGTCATTCATTTCTTGACCAGTATTGAATTTTACAGATTATGTGCATTCATGGAATTTGTATTTTAGGTTCATCGTTTCAAGTTTCCAGTCACACAATACCCAGTTGTTTTGGAAATTATTGATGAAAAACAAAAAGTATCTGTGAAACCTCCATATTTGGTTACCATGACTGAAGTGAATAGGAGGCAAAACTGGCAACTAAGTATGGCTTTCTGACTTCTATGCTTATCTTACAAGTCATTATAATATTACTGTTTTTTAATTATTGCTGTTTTTTTAATGAGTGGATTGCAATGTCTGTTCACATGAGAAATAGCCAGGAGTTTTTAAGAAAAAGATTTGAATCATTGGCATGTTCACATTGAACATGTCATCTCCTTTTATGTTCTCATCACTTCCAGGAACCTGGATTCAGTGGTACAAGGCCAGATTTGTGATTTGAACTGCAGGGCTGGAGAGACTGATCAGTGGTTAAAAGGGTGTACTGCTCTTGCAGAAGAGCCATATCAAGCAGCTCACTTAACTGTGACTCAAGCTGCAGGGTGCCCTATGCCTGTGTCTCCAGGGCCTGTACGTACCCACATACAAACATAATTACAAATAAATCCTTAACAAATGATTTATAGCACAAAAATGACTCTGAAAGTCAAGTTGTAGATTAGTAGCAGCAATGGTTAAGTTTGTGCTGTGTACCAATTGAGGGTCTTTATTATTCACTGTGACACAGTTACCTGAAGGTTCTAGGTGTTGCTGGATATTCTGTAGGGTTTGTTTCTAATTGTGTAAGCGAAGTTTTTCGAAGATTTCTTTTTAGCTGAATGTAGTAGTATACAGTTGTAATCCGGCACTTGGTAGGTAGATGCAAGAGTTCAAGGCAAGTTTCAGTTCTATAGTGAGATGGGACCAGCTTGGGTTACATGAGATATTGTCCCAAGAAGAAGAAAGAACGAAAAGAAAGAGAGTGGGGGTGTTGTGGTAAAAGAGCTGAAAAGAGACACATGTTTTACAATACAAAAGGAAATTTACATAAGTTCAGTTTTACCTCAAAGATACACCTTATAGTTCCATGTTTTGTGCTTATTTATGTGTAAATATTTTCAGGTAACAGATAGACAGACAGACAGATGTATAAAGGCTGGGGCTATAGCTCAGTGCCTACAATTTTTGAAACCTTAGGTTCAATGCCCAGTGTTGCCCCACAATAAGTCAGGAAGATGCAGATAGGTCTGGTGAAGTAGGAAGATGAAGTCAACTGAAGCTTTGATTAGCCATCACTATATTACTAAGTTTGAAGACATTCGGTAGTCAGTGAGTCTTATTCTGACAAACTTAATTTTTTAATTCTTTCTCTATTTAATGTTTCCTTTCCCCAGCTGATCACAGTTTCCCCTCCCTCCCTCTTCTCCTCCCAGTCCCTTCTCACAATCTCTCCTCATCCATGCACCATCTACTCTTTCTCTTTTCTCTCCAGAAAAGATACTCTGTACAATTTAATGCCTTCTTGAAGTGAAAACTCCAGGAAACAAAGTAAAGTTCCCATGTTCCCTAATAAATGTTCACAGTTTCTGTGATATCCTGGTGGCTCTTACCATGTTTGGAGAGTTGACTTTTAAAAACGGAAGCATTTTACAAGCTGATTCTTATATTAAGTTGGCCATAGTGATCATATTCTCAATGGAAATTAGCTAATGAGACAGTCAGGCTTGAATTACTTTCTTTTCTTTTCTTTTTTTTGGTTTTTCTAGACAGGGTTTCTTTGTGTAGCATTGGAATTGAATTACTTTCGTTAGCTCCTCTCACCACTACACCACTAGAGTTTATAACACCTACATAGGCTCACTGGTTTAGAAAGAATGACAAGGTAAGTGGGAAGACTTGTTTACTTCCCCTGGAGAACCCTTAAGTGATCCTATTTTGCAACTCTACTGCCATTTACCCACCACTATGAAAAATGCAAACCATGACCTGTCAGGATGGGTTTCTCATGAGTCAGAGGCTAAGAAGAACTGAAGCTGCAGCAAGGTGGTCAGATGCTCTCTCCTGCTAGAGGAGGGCATGGGAGAAATGCGAGGTCATTAGTCTAATCCCCCCTGATGAGAAGTGTTAATCTAATTCACCCTGAAGAGAAGTGAGGATGTTGTTTGGTGGCAGAGTGTTGTCTAGTGTGAAAAAGGAACTGGAGTTCAATCCCTAGTACCAGAATTTTAAATTAATTTTTATGAATGTGGTTGTTTTTCCTGCATGTCTGTGTGCATCACTTGCATGCCTGGTACCTTCAAGTGGCCAGAAGAAGCAATCAGGTCCCTAGAATTGAAGTTACAGATGATTGGGAGTTGCCATTTTGGTGGTGGGACTCAAATGTAGGTCCTGTACAACAGCAGACAATGTTCTTAACCACTCAACCCTCTCTCCAGCCCCTAAGAACAAGACACTTCATAAAAATAGGCAATTCTCTCATGAGGCCATACCCACCCTTGGGTGTGTCTTATTTTCTGTAACTCTTTGAGATGTCCATATCCATGCTCTGGGGTATATATTTTTGCTTTCTTCTAAGTGTCTCTTTTTCTGTCTTAGCCTTTCTGCCTAAACCTATATTAAAGTATCTTTACTAAAAGTGAACTCTAAAGGTACTTACAAAGTCAAACAATACTAAGATCAAGAGTTACCTTAGTAACATCACACAATAGACTCTTCCATTGTACCTTACTGTATATAAAAACATGAAAATGTAAGTGTCCTATAAATGTATTTTATGTATGTTTCAGAACACAATATGCCAGAAAATGTTAAGAAAATGAAGAACTACTTAGATACAAGGCTTAAGACTCCAGTGTATAATCCTTTTGGTCTCAACCTAAGTATAAGGGTGAGTTGCCAGCATTTTCATGTTTACCACTAAAGTTTAGAGGTAAGTATGCATATGCTAAAGTAAGATTTCAAGTTCAGATATTGGCGAATGGTGGGAATTTAGAAGCTTTAAAGTATATAGAAAATATTTCTTTCTTCTCCATTCCCTGGTTGTCCTGTTTCTAAAGAAATCTGAATGTTGAACAGAACATTAATTTAGTATTTTCTAAAAGATAGGCCAGATCAACTGGCTAAAGGGAAGTAGAGCAGTTGTTTGCAAAAGTTAGGGATCACAGGGATACATAAAGCACAGGTAAGTGTGAAAATACAGAGACATGCAGTACTTATCCCTAGCATAGGTGTGAACTTTGGGATCCCATTCCACATAGAGGAATACTCCCTGAGCCAAGACACATGGGGGTGGGGCCTAGGCCCTATCCCAAAGGATATGATAGACTCTGATGACCCCCTATTGAAAGCCTCACCCTCCCTGGGAGCAGAAAGGATATGTGATATGTAGGGTTTTTGTTGGGGGGGTAAGGGTGGAGGGGCAGGAGAGGGAACTGGGATTGACATGTAAAACAATCTTGTTTCTAATTCAAATAAAAAATCTGCAAAAAAAAAAAGTCACAGATGTAAAGGCTAACTCAAAGGTGTTCATGACAGCCAAATTGTTTTATATTTTAATTTCTGAAAATAAAACTTCATCATTGAGTTCCTGCTTTACTACCTCTTCATTTTATATGTGATGTTGATGTTAAAGGCCTTGACACTCCTTATAAAGTGGCTCCCATAGATATTTCTGTCTAAAGGAATACACACATTGACAATCACCATCTGTGTTTGTTCCACAGGGCTCTGAGCTGTTTCACTTCAAGGTGTCTGTGATTCCTGGGGTCAGCTTTTGTGACTTACATGAAGAATTTCAGGTATAGTAAGTGCATAAACTGTGAAATGAGATGATGACTGAGAAAATGACAAAACAATTGTCAATCCAAGTTATGGTTGACAATAAAACCGTGGGCAGAATCTGTGTGCAGGATAAGGGTTGGACAGGATGTGGCCGAGAATGAGAGTGTGGTGGTAGAGGATGCTGAATGTCAACAAAATTGTGGGTGGAATTTTTCTGTGTGGTTAATTGTGGGGATCATACGATGTCCAGCGTTTTCATTACCACATCCAGAAAATGTAACCACTTTGCTTTTTCTTTTCAGATTTATGTCGATGAAGTACCATTGCCTTTTCCAGGACATGTACTAATTGCTGTTGCAACATCTGTAGTGCTAGGGGGATTAATTTTTGTAGCATTTCTATTCCAACTTCGTAACATCCACCCATTGAGAGCATTCCGGAGATATGTCAGAGGAACTATTGCACACTCATCAAATTTAAGTATCGACTCATAAGTGAAAGTCTGCATAGTGAACAAATTACAATCATCAATTATCTGTATTTCTGACTTCCATTAAATATGTCCTCATAACACATTTATATTTTTAAAGTACACATTAGGTACAGTGCTATAAAATTTTTATACTATTATAATTCTAGTTGCTGTTGGTCAATAATTCCGCATTCCATTGCCTTATTTTTACCTCATAGAAAATTATTTTAGCATTTACATAAGTTTTGTGTTTTCTGTTTTTAAGACTCTTTTGAAAAATATAAAATGATAACCAATTCTCTGTGTGATATGTTTTCTGCATTATTCAGCTCCTATGACAGAGTCCATTTTGTAGATAGAATAGTGGTACAAAGAGGGCGCCATTACACCATGGGAGTCAGGCAAGCAGAGACTAATCAGTGAATATGTTCTCAGAGCCTTGTAGAAAATTTTTAAAAAGAAGTCATTCAGGTTTCTTAAAGAAGGCCAAACTGGTTTGTGGTTCCAGTAAGAGGGGAAGGTGACTCCATCATCAGTACTCGAAGAAAGTAGTGATTGAGCCAGGTGTTGGTTTCAAAGATGCAGCATACAGAACTCCAAAGGATATGCCTCTGTGTGCTTTGGTGAAGTTGTCTCCGGGATCTGGAAAGTGGTGGCTACACCCAGGTATCAGACCTGGCATGCCTGGAGGAGATTTGTGAGAGAGGACAGTGCTATGGGTTCATTAGGGCATGGAGGAGGGACAGAGTGGACTACTCAGAAATGACCAGCCCTTCAGGGACTGTAAAGTTTAAGATCAGGGGCATTTCCTGTTTTATAATCACCTCTTATGTTGCAAAATAAGATTATCATGAATGAGAAGAGATCTCAGAGCCCCGACTGTCATGGGCACTCACTAAGCAGAAAAGCTTAAGGCAGTCTTGGGGCTGGAGTGATGGCTCAGTGGCTTAGAGCACTTGTTGCTCTTGCAGAGGGTGTGGGTTGAATGTCAGCACCACATAGTAGCTCACACCATCTGATGCTTCTCTGTTCTATGCATCCCTCACCGCCTGTCTCAGCTGTTTTCTCAGCTCTGTGACCAGATACCTGACATAAGCAAATAAAAAGAGGAAAAATTTCCCAGTGCTCAGAGCTCCCAAGAGTATTCTAGTATGTTAGGGAAAACATGGTGGTAAAATTTTCTCCTACCCATGTTGGCTGGAGAAAAAAGCATGGAGCAAAGGACTACCAGCCTACAATCCACACCACCAGAGAAACTAAGAAACAAGGATGACCCCAAGAGAAGGGGAGGGGGACAAGAAACCCTGAGCAAATTGGGGGCATAGGGGAAGAGAGGAAGGAGGTGGGAAGGAGAGAGGAGGAGAAGGGAAGGAGGGTGAGAACAGGAGGCCTGAGACAAGGGAGGAATAGAGGAGTGCAAGGAAGTAGATGCCTTAATAGAGGGAGGCAGTATAGGTTGGAGAGAGGTCTGGCACAGGGGAAATGTTAGGGGATCCACAGGGATGACCCCAACTAAGAATCTAGGCAGTGGTGGAGAGGCTGCCTCTGATGCCCTTACTCTATAGTGAGATAGATAACCTTGGTTACCATTCCTAGAGCCTTCATCCAGCAGCTGATCGAAGCAGAAATAGGCACCCACAGTTAAACACTGAGCCATACTCCTGGAATCCAGTTGCAGAGGGGGAGGAGGGATGAGCAAAGAAGCCAAGACTGTGCTGGAGAAACCTGCAGAAAGTTGATCTGACCCAGTGAGAGCACGGAGACCCTAGTTGTAAAGCTGGAGAACCAGCATTGGATTGAACTAAGCCCTCGGAATGTGGGTGCCAGCTAGGAGGCCAAGACAGTCTAGGGGATCTCTAACAGTGGGGCCAGTGATTATCCCTAGAGCACAAATGGACTTTGGGAGCCCATTCACTGTGGAGGGATACTATTGCAGCCCAGATACAGGAAGGATGGTCTGGGCCCTCCCCCAAATGATGTGATGGACTTCAAAAAGATGTGCACCTTAGCTAAAAGTAAAAATGGAAAATGAGATTTAAGTAACTATATAAAATTAGCTTTCAGCCCATAAACAACCATCCATGGACTATGGGACCTGACAGGACAGAAACTTCCATCTACATCATGCTGAGAAACTAACCTCTTTTTAAAATAATTAATCACACATAAATTCTCAGAATTGACACACAAATTAACTCAGCCATTTGTTAAAATTGTTTTCTACTAGTACTAACACACTTGTGGTGTGAGCATACTAGGTGTGTGTTTAGAAATAATCAGGTGGGAGGGAAATGAGAAAAGAATAGAAATTCTTGTGAGAATGGAAAAAAAGAATTCCAATATGAGTAAAGACTCTTCCTACTTACACACTTCCTACAAAGCATGCCTAAGAGAACACACTTTTGAGCAGCATACTGCATTCTTTCCTGTTTTATGTAATATTTCTCCTAATCTATTGAACTGACATAACAAAATAAATGGTGTTGGTAGAACTCCATCCCTAGAGATGGGTGGATATATATTAAATTATTTAACATGTAATATATGTATTAAAATATAAAAATTAAAACTTCCTATAAGTTCCAAACAACAAACCAAAGTCCATCAAAGTTCAACCTGGGAAACCAATGGATGTATTGGGCTCACTAATAGAGCATAATCATGTATATTGGCTTATGGGTGGCCGCAGGCAGCTGTACTGCAAAGTTTTCAGCCAGCACATATGTTAGTTTCCCCATAACCACAAAGGAGGACTCTCCAGCTAACCTACTCCAGCTTATTTACTTAGCACCTCTTCTAGTACTCCATGCTACTAGCTCAGAATTGCACAAACGACTGACAGGAGGACCTAGAATCTCAGATGAGAGTCCAATGACCCATCACATCCCTTCTCTCAAGAAATGTCGAAGGCCAGCAGGTCCAAACATGATGCTTGCTCAAAAGTAGACAGAGGACTGTGTTTATAACAACTATGTGCTCACAAACAGTTTTGGAGGCTGAGAAGCCTGATGCCAAGGTGCTGCCAAATAGGTTTCTGGTGAAGGCATGCTGCCTCAGCCATATTTTTACATAATGTTCCAGGACAGAAAGGGCAAGGGATCAATCACTCTTGGTTCTCTTTTAAAAGAATACTAACCCTGCCCATGAGGGCTCCATTCTAAATACCTAAGCATCTAAGAGGTGTAAAGAATGGATATAGACAAAAATAAACTTGTAGATATGGAAGTAGGTAGTTGAAGGAATCCAACCATGTTTCCTTTTCGATCTGGAAATAGAATCTACTAAGTAATAAAAGGAGAAGCATGTTAAAGTTCAAAATAAGTGGAAATATAATTGCTTTTCTCAGTGAGTCAACTGACAAAAGAAATCAAGATTTTCAGATGGGCAAATCAGTAATGATGAGTTAGCACTACCAAATTACTTAGATATGTATGTGTCAGGCAGGGGATCAATCAAGCCTTTCCTGTTTCCTTCATTTGCATTTAACTCTTCCTTTATTAGACCCTACAAAGCATTTTATTCATACCTCCTATCTTTTTATTGTAACTGATTTCTATGGTTTTATTTCAAAAATGAAATATATAAAACCTCAGTATAAACAATGATGGCTTATTATATCTAAGTATATATGATGACTTGTTTACAATTTTAATCACTTCATGATCAAAATTCCGTATGTTATATAATCAAGACAGTTGAAAGACCAAGAAATTAAACTGAAGGTCCACTTAGAACCACAATCAATTAAACTTACTTTTGCTTAAATAAATCATTATATCATGAGAAGCAGATTTTTTAAAAAAATTTTCAGCCTCAAAAACTAAAGAATGATGACCCTTAAAAACCCCATGACATGAGAATATTAACAGCTAATTATCAATACAACTTAAAAGAATACCTTATTTAGTATAGCATGGATTAGTTACCTCTTTGCCATCTAAGAAAGCATGAAGAAACTTTGTTCCAGGTTATCTACTGCCTTTACCAAAGTCCTATTGATTTAATGGAAATTTATTACCATTTGTTTTAAAGTTCAGATATTTTAATAGATAACAGTATTAAAAATGAAGACTAGGAAATCACTAGATCTATACAGTACTCATCTTTGTCCATAACAGATTATAGTTTGTAGGATTATAATTTTTTAATAGTTTTAAAATCATAAATCTATATTTTAAAATAGGCAGGATACTTCATAGTTCAAAATTTTTAATTCAGTGTTTCACCTAAAACTGGAAGCATTTGAAATTTGTTCTGAGTAGGACAGGTTCTGAAGCAAGAGAAAATTACAAAAGCATCATTCTGGCCATCACAGACATGTACATTTTATTGGTTCTTTTTTCATATGCCCTGAAGAAACACTAAATAAATTTCCAAACATTGAAAGGAGAGGCATTTGAAATATCCATCGTTACCATGCTAAGAAAAGTTTGAATTTATTCCAAGTTTCTGAAATCTTTCATACATGTGCAAATATTTCAACATATAAACAATGAAAATTTTTGCTGGATAATGGTTTCCAACTGGCAATGAGTTTATTAGTATCAAAGAAATTTGCAAAACTGTATTCAAAGAAAACTTCAGGTTACTTTATTTTTAGAGCATAATTACATATGTTCAGAAATCCCAATGGTTTCTTCTCAACAGTCTGGGAAGAGTCGACATTAATACACTTGAGTCATTTTTATGATTCCTGATTTAAAAATTATACAAAACTAAATGAATGCCAAATAATGTTTTGACATGGGTTGCAACTTTCTATATTATCTGAGATTGCATAAATACATTGTTGACTAATTTTCCTCCTGTTGCAGAAAGCAGCTGTAATCTGGCAGAAGTTATTCCTCCCAGTGCCCCAGAATGTGTATGGGAAATTATCAAAGTTCCTATGGGATCAAAGTAACATTTATAGTAACAATGGATGGAGGAGAAAACAACGGTGGCTGTGAAGGCCATGTATATCAAATTAATGCCTTCAGGCGGTCATGAATTCATTATAGAAATAGAACATGCACTGATATCACGAAAAATAAGGCCATGTTGAGTGGTCCAGGTCAGTTTGCTGGGAATGAAACCAATGAGGTCAATTTTAGAGTCCTTCACATGTGCTACTGAAAGATGTATGTATATTTACCTACAAGGTCAGATACACTAACACCTCCATCGAAATTCCTGAATTCTCAACTACACCTGAAATTGTTCTGCTGATGACTTCAAACTTCCTAGATTGTTAAGTAGCATAAATCAACTGTTAGATTGTTTAGTATTTAATACTAAACAATTCAGCCAGTAACTTTTTTAAATATAGCATATTATTTATATGCAATTGAACAAGTTGATTGAAGAACTGATTACTTCTGTTCTGCATAGCAATGAAAGATGCTATTTGAATTGAAATGCATTTGTTATAAGAAATCAGGGACATTTGTACAAGCTTGGAAGTAAACAAGTATGCCAACTCATTAAAAGAAGAAAAAAGAAAAGAATAAAGAAAATAGCATCTTGCAAAATTAAATAAAATGCCAAATAATGATGCTATATTCGGACATGCTGTTACTTTGTGTTATCTGAGAGTTTACAAATACATTTTATAAATGACACAGTTTGTAAATGACTAATCTCCCCCATTATGAAGTTTCCTTGGTTTCAATTTGGCTTCCCAGCATCATTTTGGTTCCTTTTTCCTTTGCTACAAGTAAAAGTTCAGAAAAGCCTAAACAAATACAAAGGAAAATGATTTTTGCATGGTATTTCAGTTTCTATTATTAGCCCCTAATTGTTTTTCTCACCAAGAGTGCTTATTAACACACAAGAATCCTTGCACCCATATTTTTCACATAAAAATTTCAAGGACACAGGAAACCTACATGTTTACATTCAGTACATCTTCAGCTGGAAAATGCTTATGTAAAGACTGATTAAAACATTAGAAATCTTCACCTATCAATATTTTCTTACCTGAAAGTTCTCTTAAATGAAATTTTCTTTGTATTTATCTATGCTATCTAGGAGTGTGGGAAACCAAGAAAGCATATCTTTTCCTTGAATTTTATATTATACATATGCTTAAAATACTAATAATTAGATCATGAAAATTGAATTAAATAAATGACGAATTAGATTTAGGAATTAAGAATTAAAAGTAGTATAACACAGAAAATAGTGAAAATAAAATTCCAGTTTTGAAAATAGCAAAGCCTATGCTATGTCAACATAGGCTGATCAATTCTGACAAATGTCTTATTTGGGTGTACGATGTTGATAGTGCAGGAGGCTGTGCCTGCACTGACAATGGAAGTTTCTATGTAGGAAATTTCTGTACCAACTTTAAAAAGTAAAATCTATTAAACAAAGTAAAGTAAAAGAAAAATTTAAGTGTCAATGTTCAAAATAATATCACTATCACAAAGGATGGCTTCTCCTGAAAGACCATGAGAGTATGTGCATGCCTTTGATCCCAGCACTCGGGAGGCAGAGGCAGGCGGATCTCTGTGAGTTTGAGACCAGCCTGGTATACAAGAGCTAGTTCCTGGAGAGCCTCCAAACCCTGTCTCAAAAAACCAAAAAAAAAAAAAAGTACTGACCAGTAATCCATTTTTTATACGTATAAAAATAGCATTTCAAAGTTCACAGTGGCAAAGAATTCTGGTTAATACCACTGGTGCGATAAAACCTAGGCAATAGAAGATACCTAGATAAGAGTTCAAATTTAGATTCTAATTAAATATCTAGACTATACAAAACTGGAATTTAAAAGATTATTCCTACGTTAAACAAAGTATTTCTCTGGCCTAAAATGTGTAGAACGAAGAAAGAGACAGACAAGCAGGCATGCAGGTAAAGAGGGAGGGAAAGAGGAGGATAGGGGAGATAAATCTCATTATTTACTTATTGGCAAAAATAAAGTCACTATATAAGATTAGAAACTGTTGCTTACTTCTTCCTAAAAATTGTTTTGTATTAGCCACAACTTTTATGGCCACCCAAGCAGAAATATCTCCATATGCTAACTTCCAATACATACCTGAAAATAAAACTGCCGTAGAAAAATATTTACATTCTATACATTGTTACCAGGTATGATTATTAAAAATGGGAAATACTTTAACATTGTAGTTTACAAAACAAGTAACTTACATCAAAAACTAAAACTAAGAACTAATGATCAAAAATACTGAATTTACTATTTAAGCTCATTTAATTCTGATAAATTAAGTTCACCCAAATATAAAATGTTTTAACTCCAAAGAAAATAAAGGGTAAGAATGAGGCAGACCATAAAATGTATATATTTTGGCTTTTAAATAAACTTCATTTATTATTTTTAAGACATATTGAGTGTGTGTGTGTGTGTGTGTATACATGTGTGTGGCATGATATACATGTGGATTTTATTTTTATTTATTTATTTCTGGTTTTTCAAGACAGGGTTTCTCTGTGTAGCTTTGGAGCCTATCCTGGAACTCACTCTGGAGACCAGGCTGGCCTCAAACTCAGAGATCCGCCTGCCTCTGCCTCCCGAGTGCTGGGATTAAAGGCATGTGTCACCAACGCCGGGCTACATGTGGATTTTAGAGAGCAAATTAAATAAGTTCTCTCCTTCCATCATTTTTTAAATATTTTTTATTTTAATTAGAAAGAAGATTATTTTACATGTAAATCCCAGGTCCCTCTCCCTCCTCTCCTCTCCTGACCCCCCCAACTAACACCCTACCTATCCCACACCCCTTCTGCTCCCCAGGGAGGGTGAGGCCTTCCATTGGGGGGGGTCTTCAAAGTCTATCATAGCCTTTGGGATAGGGCCTAGGCCAACCCCCTTTTGTCTAGGCTCAGGGAGTATCCCTTCATGTGGGATGGGCTCCTAAAGTCCATTCCTATGCTAGGAATACGTACTGATCCACTACAAGGGGCCCCATAGATTTCCAAGGTCTCCTCACTGACACCCACATTCAGGGGGTCTGGATCAGTCCATGATGGCTTCCCAACTATCAGTCTGGGGACAAGCTCTCCCTTGTTCGGGTCAGCTGTTTCTGTGGGTTTCACCAGCCTGGTATGGACCCCTATGATCATCAGTCCTTCTCTGCAACTGGATCTCAGTTCAGTTCAAGGTTTAGTTGTGGGTGTCTGCTTCTACTTCCACGAGCTGCTGGATGAAGGCTATATGATGGCATATGAATTAGTCATCAATCTCATTATCTCTTTCCATCATGTCGAGTTCCAGGAATGGAACTCAACTTGTCAGATGTGGTGACAAACTCCTTTACCCACTGAGCCATTGTGCTATCTCCAAGCCTTATGTATTATTTTCCTGGAGATAAGCAGCTTATAAATGGTTAAGCAATGACTTATGGACTGTGCTGAGCTCCTGGAGTTCAGTTGAAGAGAGGGAGGGATCATATGAACAAGGGGGGGTCAAGATCATAATGGGGAAAATCACAGAAACAGCTGACAGCTAGTGGGAGCTCACAGACTATGGCTGACAGCTGGGGAACCTGCTTGGGACTGAACTAGGACCTCTCTATATGGGTGACAGTTATGTGGCTTCATTTGTTAGGATGGTGGCAGTAGGACCAGGACTTATCCTGGATGCATGAACTGGCTTTTTGGAGCCCATTCCCTATGGTGAGATACCTTGCTCAGCCTTGATACTGAGGGGCAGAGGGGTGGTCCTGCCTCAACTTGGTATGCCAAACATAGTTAACTCCCCAAGGAAGGTCTTACCCCCTCTAAGGAGTAGACGGGAGGTAAGAAGAGAGGAGGTGTGGGTGGCAAGAAAGGGAGAGGAAGGGGAACTGCTATGTACCAACTTTTCTCAAATACAAAAAAGAAAAAGAAAACACAGTAGAAATGGTTCTGCTCATTTTGCTCTGAAAAAAAATACATATGAAGATATAACAGTGTAACCAAGATCTAATCAATCATGAATAATACTGGAAAAGTGATAAAGTCTTAAAGTCTTGTAAATACCTAATAGTACTAAAAGGGATTGGTGTGCTAGGTTCTGAAGTCCAATAGCACAAAATGACAAAAAGATTATGGCCATGTGTGTAGTTCTGCAATCCTTGCCACTAAGAAGATGTAGTTCTGTTAAATGCACCCTGTGAAATGCTGAAGGACTGCTAGCAGTTGCTTGCTCAGTTGTTTATTTTTCTATACATTCTATGTTTACTTTAGAGGCTCAAAAGACTTGGATTTGTTTACTTGAATAAGTTTTCAGTATTCAAAATTAAAGTTTACAAAGTGCAAAGACAAAACAAAAGCAAAAGCAATACAGAAAAGCCTATCTAGGACTGATATTTTCATAGACTTTATTATCTATTTAGTTGGCCTAATAATACTACGTTTTATTTTATCATATGTTTTGGCACCATTTTAAAATATATCATTCACTTTGTATTCCTGATAGAATGCATTTCAAGCTTTAGAAAACTGAAATCATGTTTCTTCTAAAAGAATGTCATTTCTTCACTAAATTAATGCCTGACGTCTTCAAGATGGATTTAACTTGTGCCACTTGATAACAACCTTTTCTGGATTTGTAATTGTCTCTTTCCATTGGTTCACTGCTTCAGTATTATTACTGTCTTCACTTATCCAGAGCTGTAAAGGAAGAGTACAATCATTCAACTTGACATAATATTAGTAGCTGACATTAAGCAATTACTCTTATTGTTAAAATATATGGACAAGTTTAGATAACATATTTTTAAACATAAATCATTCCATTTTTTCCATTTTTTCAGAAGTTTCATGATGATTTGACCCTTGAATGTTACAATACTTAACCTGTTGAATCATTCTGGATTATGTGATCCAATTCAGTTTAAGTATTAAAAATGCAAAAATGAAATACTATTTGAAACTTGACTGTATTCTTCCTTGTTCAATCTATGAGCTCAACTAAAATTGATCCTCATTAGTCAAAAACATTTTTGCCATGATTTCTAAATTAAGGCAAACAATGATTTTAACCTAGAAAGGAATGCACACTTAAGCACCTTTCACATTATATGAAACCATAACCTTAATTGAAATCTAGTAAATAGTCATTCTTAATCCGTAATAATTCCATTGTACCTATCATTTATATAACTATAGATAATACATGTAAATGACCTTGGAAACACTAGTATTGTCCAAATACAAGACATCAAAATGAGTAAATAACACGGAGACAAGGTGGATGGACAATTTAAAAAAGCTGAATCTTTGTCTTGGCTATAACACTAACAAATGCACCTTAGAATTAACTTACCTGAGACACAGTTTCTAATTCTTCTAAGAGATTTGAATAAATCATTGGTTTTCAATTCTTTTTCTACCTTGGTCTAATGAAACTTTCATCAAAGAAAATTTTACACAAATAACATTAGAGTATTTGGATTGATAAAGTAGGAGCACTTGAGCCGACAGAATTCCCTCACCGTGACTGACACCTGAGGCCACCAAAGAAGTGTCCCAGATTTATTATCCTGTTAACCATCTTTCAAATTAAGTTTACATTAGTCCTTTAATTCAAACTCCTTTCCAAATACAGAAAATTGCAACATTTTAAATTAGCAGTCTATTTATATGAAAATGAAAGTTGATACCAATCTTTGAAAATTCATATCACAATCTGAAGATCTTACATAGACTGCTATAGCAGCTTTTTCTCAGGTGAAAGATTTTACATTAGTTAAGGACTTCAAGATTTAAATGTGACACAGCAACTTTAATTAAAATAAAAATAACTAATAGCTGTCACAAATCAGAACAATAAAGAAAGAAAATATAAAAAAACAAGTCTATAGGATTGACAAGGCAGCTGTTATACAGCCCTATACAAATTACTCAGAAATTTTAATTAATCCAGACAGCAGAATTGGCTATCTAAATACTATTACACAGTTAAAATTGATATTTCTAGAAATTCAAATCTATCATAATTAAGTTAATAAAATATATAAAAGGCATTTCAAATACAAAATTAAAGATGAAACAGAATAAAATAAGTGAAACTCAAAGCCTTAAGTTTGATTTGCATATTTGCTGTGGAATTATCCTCTGTACACTGTGTAAATAATGCTGCCATTGGCTTTATAAATAAGCTGCCTGGCCAATAGCTGAACAGGATAAGGTTAGGTGGTTAAACCAGACTAAGGACACTGAGACGAAGAATGGCAGAGTCAGAGGAGTCACCAACCAGATGCAGAGGGATCAGGATGTGTATGACATGAGGTAACAAGTCATGAGCCACATGGCAGCATATAGATTAATAGAGATTGGTTAACTTATAAGAGCTAGACAAAATATCAAGCCTAATCTATCAGCCAAGCATTTATAATTAATAAACAGTCTCTGAGTGGTTATTAGGGAAGTGGCTGATGGAACAGAGCTTGATTGTGGTCCTGACCAAAAAAAAAAAAACCCTCTGCCTACACATATTTAAGATTCCCTCTTCTACTGATCTTATATTTTAAGGATGAGCATTCAGAAGACTTAGAAAAAGAAGCCTGGCTGCTCAGAAATGTTATCTAATTGTATTAAAGCAAAGGATTTGACAAAATTTAATTTTGAGGCAACACTGAATTTTAATTTAGAGCTTTGAAAAATCTTCCTGTACTCATTCTTAATTGTATTTTCTTTCCTTTGCTAATTAACTACAGAGTAACACATAGCAACATACCATGAAGAAATTCAGTAACACTACTAACCTGGCCTACAAAATGTTTCCTTCTTACAGAGCTTCGACTATAAAGTTTAACAAGGAAAACAATTTCTTTTTCAGTCTGTGTAAGTGGAAAAATCATAGTTTCTCCCCATTTTACTCTTCCACTGGATGCCTTCAGTAAGCGTGTCTTCTTTTTATAAATCAGCTCTCCTGAGCTAAACATTCCCACCTTCACAAAAAAACCTAGGAAACAAGAAACTATGGATTACAAACTCTTATGTGAAATACTATATAAAGATTTTATCTATATAAGTTATAAAACATAAATAATCAATTTTAAAGATATTCTTGGTTATTGTTTGACAATAGCACACACAGAACATTCATCACACTTTACAAATAACTACTTTGGCCTCAAATGAATTTAATATTCTTCTATTCTGAATTACATCAACCAGAATAGCAATCACCAGCAAAGGAAAACACACTGAAATGAATTACACCAAGAAAGGTGTCAATTCTCTGGAAAGCTAGAGGTATTAATTTCCTAACTTCATAGGTTAATTTCTTTGCTTGTGACACCAGCAGTATATGTGCATTAGAATAAAACAAGTAAATATTCTCAAGTAAATTTGAGATCTAGCACTTCCAACAATGATAAAATAATTTGTATAAACTCTAACCAAACATAACAATTATGGACTTTAGGGTAAAAACAAGTAAAAATCCTCCAAAACCAACTTTGTTGGCTCTTAATATTGGACTGTTCAATCTCTATATAGATTTGAGAAAATAAAGTTCTGTTATCTAAGCCAAAAGGGAGAAGGGGGTACTATAGAATTTGGAGCAGAAATATCAACTTGGGAACTGCCCTGGATAAAATTATGGGCAATATATCTGTTCACCTAAGCATACTTTTCAATGTGATACTGTTGTAAATAGGCAAAAAGTTCCTTGTCTTAAGAACTGCCTTTTTGACCCCAAAGTCCATTTTACCTGTAGAGTGAAACAAAGTTCAGATTCCCACACCCTAGGGGAGCTGGGAAACTTCCAATAGCTGGCCCACCTCATCCTTAAACCATAGAATATTCATTATGCATTTTCAGTTCTCTAGAAACATTGTGGCTGATCCTAACAACAGAAAGAACAAATGAGTCTGATTGGACTAAAAGGCTTGCACTGTAGATCAATTGACAATGAACCAACGTTCAAGGAAGCCCCTAATCTCTAAATCCTGACTGGTGAAAGTTGCAACTAACTTGGCAACAAATATTTGTAAATTTTGTGCCTTAATATTTGCTTCAACTGACATTTGGGGTCACAGTTCAGCTCCTGAGTCTGTTCTGTGTCCCTGATGGATCAGCTTCCTCCTCTAACACCTTCTTTTGTGCTGCCCTGCATTAAATCTTGCTTTTGTATTTGCTTGGGTTGATTCTGAGCTTGGACCACAATACAAAATGACTACAGCTTAAGCAGCAAGTGTCACCTGACTACTGTGAGGAGTCAGTTAATATAATTGGGGCTAAAAGGCAGCAAGAAAGGCAAGAGGAAACTGCCAGAAAGGGGGGATCACAGGATAAGTAATGAGACCTACTAGGTTATAAAATGACAATCATTAGCAATCCTAAGTAGTAGTTTTGCTTAAATGAAGCCATTCATTTTTATATTAATTCTGTATAGACTTCCACTACTCTTTCTATTTCACAGAATTATGATAGAAAGCCCATCCTTTACACTGCCTGGAGAGGCAGGATTCAGAGACTGGACAGCTCAGAGACTTAGGATAGAACCAAATATGACTGGGGAATAAAAAGTCAATGAAATGATTCCTAATGATATTCTACTATACTCATAGATCGTTGTCCAACCCAATTGTCACCAGAGGCTTCACCCAGAAACTGATAGAAACAGATGCAGAGAACCACAGCTGAACATTAGGCAGATCTGGGGGAATCCTATGGAAAAGGGAGAGGATGGATTATGGGAGCTGGGGGAAGGGCCAAGAACACCACAAGAAAACCCACAGAATCAACTAAATTGGACTAATAGAGGCACTCATGCACTGAACCACCAACCACAAAGCCTACAGGGGACTTACCTAGGCCATCTGCACATATGTTACAGTTGTGTAACTTGGTCTTCTTGTGGGACTCCTAACAGTGAGATCAGGGGCTGTCTATGACTCTGTTATCTGTGTTTAGGGCCCCTTCTTCCTACTGGGTTGCTTCATCTAGCCTTATTAGGAGATAAGCTGCCTAGTCTTATTACAACTTGATATGTCATGGCTGGCTGGTGGTATACATGGGAGGCCTGCCCTTTTCTGAAGAGAAAGGAGGAAGAGGGGTTAGAGGAAGAGAGGAGATTTGGGAAGGGATTGGAAGGAGAGGATAGAGGAAGGGGAAAATGATCAGGCTAGGAAAAAATTAGTCAATTAATAAAAAAAATTAACTAGAAGTAATCTTGACTTACTTTTCTAACTTGGATTTTGTTTGTTTACTTTTACTTATAATTCTCCATTTAGCTATATATGCAATATTAACTTATAGTTACTTTTATGGGCTATTCATCTTTTACTATCAAGAGTACAGTAATATCATAAAATTATAATTTTCATGCTTCAAAATAGCTTATGTTGCACAGGAATTACATGTTCTTCAATGGCTCGCTAGACTCTATCAGTAAAATGGTCTTGGCCTTAGTGCTAGGAAGTACTAAAATATAAAAAACTCCATGACCAAAGCAACTAGGTGAGGAAAATGTTTATTCCAGCATACTCCATCACTGAGAAAAGTCAAGGTAGAAACCTGAAGGCAGAAACCTGGAAGCAGGAAATGGCAGAGACCATGGAAGAGTACTGTTTACTGGCTTGCTCCCCATGGCTTCTTGCTCAGCCTGCTTTCTTATACACACTAGGAAAGCAGGTCTCAATCTGTGGGTCATGATCCCCTTGGCAAAACTCTTATCTACAAAAAACTCTATATTCCGATTCATAACAATACCAAAATTACAGTTATGAAATAGAAACAAAAATAATTTTACAGTGGGGGTCACCACATGAGGAACTGTATTAAGGGACACAACACTGGTAAGCTTGAGAACTACTGCTCCAGGGCTACCTGTCCAGGGATGGCACTACAGTAAGCTGGGCTCTTCCCTCCCACATCAATTACTAATTAAGAAAATTCTCCATAGGCTTGATTGAATACGGCAAATCTTACAGATGCATTTTTATCAATTGAAAAGTTTCTCTTATGTCGTTAATGATAATGAAACAAAAAATAACAATATCTTATTTGTATGCGTAGGTTATCATATATATATATATATATATATATATATATATATATATATATGTAGGTGTGTGTATTCATGCATGTGGAGGCCAGAGGTAAAAGCACTGGGTATCCTCTTCTTCAGTCATTCTGACTTATTTTTTGAGACAGGGTCTCTCACTGAATCTGGCACTCTCTGATTGGCTAGACAAGCTGTCCATCAAACTCCTCTCCATCCCCTTAAGGTTAAAAGCATGCATGACCACCCCCAGGTTTTTGTGATTCGTAGGGATCAGAACTCAGGTCCTAAGGTTTGTATAAAAGACACTACCAACTGAGCCATCTCCCAAGCCCTACTTAGTACTTTTTACAAGCAATTCTTCACTTTTTCATGGTTATTATTCTTTTCAGATTCTTTTTCTTCTTTAGTGTATTTTTAAGGAACTTATTTATGTATATGTACAAATGAGTTAGCATAATTAGTACATGGAATTATCTTACATATTATTCATTCTCTTCTGACTTAGAAATTTCTTTTGAATTTAAAATTATATAATCTTTACTGCTCAGAATACCAATCAAGTTTTCTCTATTTTGCTTTATCAATCTTCTTACAGATTTTCCTATTTTAATGGTTCTTTTAAAGAAAAAAGCTTTTGGTTTTATTGTATATTGTTAACTTTTATTTATCAACTTCAGTTTTCCTAACATTTGTTATTTTTCTGACTTCTTGAATTGAATGCTCAGTTTTATATATTTTTAGTCCTTTTAATTATAGTACTTTTACTTGCCTAGATAATTCCCTTATAGTCTCAGCCCTTGAAGTAGGATTAATCTCAATCTTCAGCTCTAAGGGTGGCCAGGTGAACTAAGCATAGCTCACCATCATATCATAGTCTCTAGCTGTTTATCCAGAGAAGGGAACAGTCCTTAATGCATACTGGTCTCTTGATTCTTAACCTACTGGAACCTCTTCACACTGAATGCACTTTGAACCACTGATACACTTACTCAAAGTCAGAGGTGTTGATGAACTTGGAAGGTATTGTGCCTCAAGAATTTGCAGCTGAATCCTGCTATTTACTGCTTGAAAACAAGTCCCCAGTTCAAGTTCTGAATGGCAAACCTATATATGAAAAAAATGTCATTTAGTAGTTCACAAAAGAGTTTGGAGATATTTCAAAAGTTTTAACATAAAAAGCTAGAGTGAAAATTTTTTGAAGTATTTTCTACTGACACTAAAAATCAAGTTATGAGAGGTTTTGAGGATAAATATTGTGGATTCCAAAAATTTATTCACTTGCATTGACTCTGAAAATACAAGTTGTTATCTACATACTGAACTTCAAAATGACATATCAAAAGATAATTTGACTAAAACCTAAAGCACAAATTAAGTTTCTAAGCATAACTGGAGAAACTGTTTATGCTAAAGAAACACCTTCAAAGGAATTAAAAATATTCCAATCAAATTATTTTAAAAACATATGAAATAGGGTTTTGTTTGGTTGGTTTTGGTTTTTTGAGACAGGGTTTCTCTGTGTAGCTGTGGCTATCTTGGAACTTGCTCTGTAGATCTGCCTGTCTCTGCCTCCCAAGTGCAGGAACCACCATCATCAGCTGAAATATGAATTTTAAAGTAACAAAGGATAATTTAGAAATCAGTGTAGATGTTACCAAAGTCAGAAGGCAAGGGATTGCTACAATAAACATAGTTGCATTACTATTCTGAATGGAAGTAAGCCAAGAAAAGCTGGCAAGAAAGAAGCTAGTCAAAGCAATGAGGTAATAGATAACAAGGAAAAGGTCAAAGAAACCCTGAAGCAAACAGTAAAAGAAAGAATACTCAAGGGAAGAAAATAAGACAAACAAAAAACTGGTGATTCATTTGTGAAATGTAACCTAAGACAGCTTTCTTTTATGGATTAGAAGGTCCTTGAAGTGAAAAACACAATATTACAAATACAAATGCACTACTAGTGATCTGAAAAGAATAAGAATAAGAATAAGGCAGGGACATGCACTGCAGATCTTGCCAGGGTTTAGAATAGAGAACTACAGTACTAATTTCAATAAAGTTACAGAATGTTTAACACTTCTCAAAGAGTTTTATATAGTATTTGATAATTACCAAACATTCTGCTTAATTGGTTTATTGGAAAGAAGCAAAAGAAAAACAAATTTCTATGTACATGCCATTGACTGAAATATGAATATTTTCTTAAAACATTTTAATAAGAAATTGAAAGCTTATGATTCTAAGTTTTAGCATTACTATGCAATAAGAAATTGAAATTCTGTCTTCCATCTCTGGACATGAGGGAGCAGAAAGGTTGAGTCAGGGGAAGAATAGATGATAACAAGAATGGAGATATCATAATAGAGGGAGACATTTTTGGTTTACAGAGAAATCAGGCACTAGGGAAAAGTCTAGAGATCTACAAAGATGACACCAACTAACAATCTAAGCAATGGAGGAGAGGCTACCTTAAATGCCCTCCCCTGATAATGAGATTGATGACTGACTTATATGCCATCCTATAGCCTTCATCCAGCTTCTGGTGGAAGTAGAAGCAGACACCCACAACTAATCCCTGAACTGAACTGGAACCCAGATGCAGAGGACGAGTGAAGTGCACAGGGGTCCAGACCAGGCTGGTGAAACCCACAGAAACAGCTGACCTGAACATCGGGGAGCTCTTGCTCCCCAGACGGATAGCTGGAATCCCAGCATGGGACTGATCCAGACCCCAGGGACATGGGTTTCTGTGAAGAAACCTCAGAACTCTATGGGACCTCCTGTAGGAGTTCAGTACTTATCCCTAGCATAGGTGTGGACTTTGGGAGCCCTATCCACATACGGGCGGTAGTAGGGGAGGATGGGAGGGAGTGGGGACTGGGATTGGCATGTAAAAAAAAGCTTGTTTCTAATTCAAATAAGAAATAAAGAAAAAAACAACAAAAACAAAACTTCCATTCTTGGTCTGGCTCAGTCTGAAGGTGGTTGTTACCTAGCCTGACATAAGAGTTTGATCTCCAGGAGCTACATAGTGAAGAAAACCACTCCTCACAAGCTGTCCTCTGACCTTCATAAACATGCCATAGCATAATACTGTTTCCCAAAACAAAGAAATATAAAAAGTTTTTATATAAAAGCAAAAATGTATTAAAATGAGAACAAATTTCCATTCTGTGATGGGGGTAGGGGGCAGCTTTACAGCAAAACATGTGTTCAGCATGTGTAAGGTTCTGGACTCCATCACTAGTAATGGGGCAGAGAAACCCAAATTCCATTCTAACCAATTTGTGAACAGATACACAAGTTACCTACCATTAAAACCATTTTCTTAATTCTACTTTATAGTAATCTCAGATTGCATAAAGATTTTATGATTTATAATATTTTTTTCTGAGTCCTTACTACAAAAATTTTTTAAACTTATTTGAAGTTGTTCACACATCATGATTATTGCTTCTGGTGTTGTTATTCCTACAGTATGAAACATTAATGAAAAAATGTACTAGAAAAGGATAGCATGATGTTATTTTGGAGAAAATAAAGAAAAAATGATATGTTAATGTTTTATAAATTATTTCTAAAATATTATTTTAAAATTATATTGCTTCTTGAGAGCTTTTATGGTCTTCCAACATGTTATATTGTATAAATTAACCTCCGACAAATAAAAGTCATTCGTTAAACCATTTTAAAAATGTGAACTATCTTTAGTATTGTTTACTATTATCACTTACAGAAATTTTTGAAGGTGGTATTATTTCCAATGAGTAATCCATTTCCTGTGTACTAAGAGTTCTGAGTGATAGAGAACATTCTCCAATGGTTTTCTTCCTGGGAGTCTGAGTTTGAATCTTAAATACAAGTCTCACAGTTTGTAGATTTTGTAGTTTAATAGCAAATACAAAAGTTTCCATAAATTCAATAGCCTTTAAAAAATAAGAAAACATTAAATATAAATACTGAAAAAGGTTGATATGCCATTATAAAATAAGTTCTTATACCTAATAAAGGTATTTAGAATATGTTTACGAGAATATTTTTTATTAAAAATGAAAATGGATGTGTCTTGTTTTACTATCTTCCTTAGCTTCACAAATTATCCTAATAATTACTTGGAATTTAAGATCAATGTTAACAACAACCTCACCAGAATACAGCTTTTCCCTTTTGAAAATTAGACTGTTTTGCCATTGTTGGTTTTCTAATACACCTTTCTTCTTAGTCATCATAATTCTTCAGAAGTTAATGAGAATAGTTCAAGAATTTCATATACAAGTTTATGAAGCATTCAGAATCTAAGCTGTTGGCATAAAAAGTCTTTCTCTACTTAAAAGAGACTGAATACTATATTGTTCTATGATATATACTTCCTTCTTTACATCCTTAGTACAGCTTTTTGAAAAGTCATGATACCTAGTCAACTAACAAATATGATGGATATTATCTCCAAAATATAACTCACATAATAATAGTATCTATCAGACAGAATTATGTTCCTGTTGGCCTCCCAACCACTGAGCTGCTTCTTTTAAATTATAAAGCTATAGAACTATACCAATAAAATATTGCACATAAACTTTCAACAGTCTTACACAGTGCAAGTGTGCTGATATAATTCATATTTTCCATAATAGGTATCTCCCAAACAACTTGATACATGAAAATAGATTTTGAAAATGAAAGATTGATAAAAAGTGTTTTTCTAACTTTTTCTATGTTAAATCACTTTTATTTGAAAATCATAAAGTAAAATTGTGTAATTCAGCAAGTGGTCATCCTTGAGTGCGTCATTTTCCCATAGAGACATTTAGATTTTTTACATACTATGTACAAAATTACCAATATTTTATATATGTTTTTGTTTTCATTTTAGATTATTTTCCTAGAACATACTTCAAGTAAAAAGCTATATTAATAGCTATAAATATATATGTTTTAGAGCAATGGTTCTCAACCTTCCTAATGCTGCAGCCCTTTAATACAGTTCCTCATGTTGTGGTGACCCACCCAAACATAAAATTTTGTTGCTAGTTCATAACTGTAATTTTGCTACTGTTATGAGTTGTAATATAAATATCTGATATTCAGGATATCTGATATGCAACCCTAAGGAGTTGCAAACCACATATTAAGAACCACTGTTTTAGAGTAATTAAAAAAAATATTTCCTGTGCAGAATTGGGTGGGTTCAGAGGATCTGAGAGGAGTTGGGGAAGGGAGAAAACATGATTAGAATATATGGTATACAAAATTTCAATAAAATATTTCCTAATCATATTAAGTTAAAATATCAATATGTATTTCATTAAAAATAATTAAAATGAATTTTTCTTGAATTCTATTATTTTAAAGATGATATGTTCCCTTAAAGGCTATCCTTTCAGGGCTGGAGAGATGGCTTAGTTCAAGTTTCACCCACATCAGGGGGCTTTACATCCACCTGTTAATTCCAGCTCCAGGAGATGCAATCTTCTAGGCAAAATGTGCACTGCACTTATGTGTACAAACCAACACATGCACATACACATAAGTGTAAAGAATCTTAAAATATATTTTTATTTTCATATAAAAGCAACTTTTTAATCATATCAAAAGACAATAATGGTCATGTATTTAAATTAATATGAAAACAATCTATAAAACAAAACTCAAGAAAATAATCCTTCTAGTTATAATAATTAGAAGATTTGGGGAACCAGATTAACTACAATTCTATAACTACTTTTCAAAGCCAAAGAGGAAAAAACAAAAAACAGCAAAAAAAAAAAAAAAAAAAAAAAAAAAAAAAAAAAAAAAAAAAAAAAAACTCCAGGCGGATCTCTGTGAGTTTGAGACCAGCCTGGTCTACAAGAGCTAGTTCCAGGGCAGCCTCCAAAGCCACAGAGAAACCCTGTCTCGAAAAAAACAAAAAACAAAAAACAAAAAACAATCAAAGCCAAAGAGTGTTGGAAGTAAGAAAAGTAAAGGAGTTTCTTACCAATTGTTAATCTTTAATATATTCTAGTCATTTATAGTTTTCTTTTTAAACTCATCTTAATACCAGACAATGAAATAATAAATAATCTTAGAATTTTTTCTTTTCAAAGCAAGCTTCTCCAAAACAAAACACTTTCTTATTCTCACATTTTACATAAATAAAAGAGATAAATACGAGAAAACGTAAAAATTCAAACACACAATGCCACTTACATTGGAACCTTCTTTGGCTGAAGATTTGAAATGCACTGGTTTGGACAAAGTTAAAATTCCTTTTATGGAAATCGTGGGAGTGTCTCCGTAATTAGAGGGCCAAATTACATCTCTGCACTAAAAACAAAAATAAATTGAAAGCATAATTTATGTTTTTAGAAAGGACTTTGACAATACAAATATTTGTGATATATTTATTGAGTTAATAACTTTTTTGAGATTATAGACATAGCTCTGGTTTTCAGGACTCATTATGTAGACCAGGCTGGCCTCAAAGATCCACCTGCCTCTGCCTCCAGAGTACTGGGATTAAAGGTGTGAGCCACCATGCTCTATTGAGTTAATGATCTTTGGTTAAATTTTAAAATAAATTTTAGATTATGATGTCATGTTTCATCCATATTAATATTTTGATATTCTTCTAGATTCCTATTAGTTTCCATCATGACATTTTCATACATACTTTGTTTTGGTTATTACTCTTCCTCTACTACTCTCCTTACCATGCCTCTCATTTATACCCAGCTGTCCTCTTCTAGCTACCAAGGAACATGTATTCCATTATTATCCAAAAATCTTATCCTGAAAAAATCTTTTCCATAACAATTTAAAAACAAGCCATAAACACCCCCCTTTATGGTCCTCTTTCTAATTTCCCAACATGTCCATATAAGTACAAATATAAAAATTAAAAGCAGGGCCCACATGTGAAAGAGAGCTTCTGAGTCTTATCTTGTTAATTTTCACATCTATCCATTTTCCTGAAATATACAGATTATGTAGCTAACTAAAATTCCATTGTGTATATATACCATATTTTTACAGTCAATTCTTATGCTAACAGACATCCAGTTGATTTAATAGAAAAGTCATAGACATGAACACGCAAGTACATCTGTAGTGAGATTTATAATCCTTTAGGCACATAACTGGGAGCTGAGCCATATGGTAGCTTTATTTTTTGTTTGTTTTTTGAGACCTCTCTATAGCGATTTCCATAGCAACTATACCAGTTTACACTTCCACAAAGGGTTCCTTTTCCCCAACATCCTCACTAGTATTTGTTGTCATTTGCTTTTGATGATAGCCATTTCCCTGATGGTTGAGGATACTGATAGGTTACTTAAGAATTTGTTATCCTTTTGGATTCCTTCTTTCAAGGACTATCTGTTCAGTTCTTTATAGTTCACTTATTGATTGGCAGTTTGGGAGTTTTGCTGTTTAATGTTTCCATTTCTTTATATATTCAAGATATTAACTCCTTGTCTAAAGTATAACTGGCAAAGGCTTTCTCTCAGGTAGGCTGTCCATTCACTCTGCTGATAGTTTCCCTTTGCTATTCAGAAACTTTTCAATTTTATGAAATTCCACTTGTTAATCTTTGGAGTTGTTTCCTGGGCTATAAGAGTCCTAATCAAATAGGGTTTTTTTGTTTTGTTTTTTTTTTTTACCTAAACCTGTATCTTGAAACTTTCCCGGTTTTCTTCTAGCAGCTCAGTGTTAAATGCTTTATTAAACACTCTACTCTGCAAAATACAAATCAATCCTAAATTATGAAGACAATTACTGACTCCCTTCTCCAAGAAGAAGCAACACTAGATACTTGCAGGTTACAAATATTCAATTTAATAAAAATCAATATTAACTACATTAATTTACCTGCAAAACTGTGATCCAGATCTGTTCTGCTGAAGAATTATAAAACAATTTCACATTCAACCTCCCCAAGTCTCTTTCGTCTCCTGATAGGGTAATTGTATCTAAATTATAAAGGACAAAAAATATAAATTCCATGCAATCTTCTTAATCCATTTAAGCTCATTTGATACCAACCAATGTAGCCCTACCTATCCTGGAACTCATCATGTAGATCAAGCTGGCCTTGAACTCACCCAGATCTGCTTGCCTTTGCCTCTAAAGCATGTGCCACCATACCTGGCAAAAACTGATATATTTATTTTTTAAGTTTCCAATGTAGTAAGACAAAAATCACACTTTAATCTATTTTAGTGAAGCTCTAGACATAAAATGTACTAAGAATGTATATAGTGTAGGAATTTAACTAAATTCCAATGTGAGGGATTGTGTTAAAACTGCAAACTTTTGCAAACAGCACATATAAGGTCTATGTGCTTCTAAAAGTTCCTTAATCCATATACTTTAAAACACAAATAAGCCATGTAGTGATGGTGCACACCTTTAATCCCAGTACTCAGGAGGCAAAGGCAAGTGGATCTCTGTGAGTTTAAGGCCAGCCTGGTCTACAGGACAGCTAAGGCTATACAGAGAAACCCTGTCTAAACGAACAACCAAAAAAAAAATCTACCTCCCTGTGTGTGTGTGTGTGTGTGTGTGTGTGTGTGTGTGTGTGTGTGTATCAAATAAAAGATATGTAATGGCTTACCTTAAAAAATATACATTCTTGCCTGAACACTGAACCATAATCTATCTAATCTGAGTTTGTGATACTACTGTCAACATAAGTTCAATAACAAGCATATAGAATGTATAGAACACTTTTTTTCTTTATCCAATTATAACACTGTCAAACTAGTACTGAGTAGAAATACCCTACAGAAGTGTACAAATAGGATACTGAAGTCCTTACCCAGGCTTCTGTTACTGCCCTGAGAATTTTTCCTTGATGAAGAACTACTAGGCACACTGGACAATGAGTCATGTCTCTGCAACAACAACAAAAATACTTCAGCCAGAAACTGCTACAAACTTTAAAAACTTTCATATTTATGCCCCAATAAGCACCTTGATAGCAAACTTTGTCAGTGTTATCAGTCAGAATTTCCTACTTTTATAGGAGAGGAAACACTCTAACATGTATCGAAAAAACCTTCATAGGTAATACTGAAAAGCCTTTAGTAGTTTTGGCTTGGTGTTAATTTTCATATTGCATACATTACTGGAAATGTCCAGTAACCTATAAAAGTGTAAAACAGAATTATCAAAGCATAGTCCCTTTAGACCAGGAACATTACTGCATCAGGCAAACTTCATAAAATAAAAATTCAGAAACCATCACAGGACTATAAAGCATTATGTATTTAAAAACTAATGATAGAATTATTAAGGCTAATTTAGAATATATACCCATTTATAAAGCATGCCTTCTCCAACAACATAAAGCAAAGTCCATAAGTATATATATGAAGATGCTCAGGGTGCTTTTCCCTTCACAAAATGACAGATAACTTGTCTGATGTTTCCTTTTTATATTTTGGTGTTTTCAGACATGGTTTTACTCTCTGGCCTAGGCTGGCCTCATATTCTTGAATGATCCTCCTGCCTCAGCCTTCTAGTGCTGGGATTACAAACATGAGGAACCATTTCTGGCTTAGTTCCTAATTTCAAACAGAACTTGGCTGATCTAAGAATGAAACACTTTAAACTATCAAAGGATACTATACTAGTATTACTGAAAAATTAAAGTCTTACACCCCAATAGAAATACTAGTAACTGCCTGATTGTAGTCAATAAGCAAAGTACTTTTAACTATGATTACAAATCCCAATTGCCTCAAGAACCTTAAGCTCATGCCAATTGAGAGATACAAAATTGGGCAAAATGAAGCAAATATAATGCCTTTTATTATTCACTGAAATTTTCCTAAAATAATGACTATAGGAAATGTCAAATACTTATTCTTCAAATATTGTAATACACATAGCCACAGAAATACATGTAATTCCTAATGTCATTCATACAATTCTGATTTTTTTATTTGAAAAGTTCACATATAATGAAATTTATATAATTATATACCTGGATGAATCGTTGAGGTGAAGTTGTAAGATCAAACATAGATTTGCTTAGCCCAGGGGAACCAGGAAGTTTACTGGTTCTTAAATCACAAACTATGAAGGGACAAGAGAAAAGTATTTTTTAAACTAATAAAAATGAAACAGTGACATTTTACCTCATTGTCATAAGCCAAATATCTCATAATTTGGCTTATGACAAATCTCCATAGGAATCATGTATATTATATACAAATTTATATAAACAGAAATTCTGATAAAATCTTTAAAATTCAATTATTTTAATCTTTAAAACAGGCATCTAGGACCTGTCCCATCCAAGGTGAGTGACCCTCTGCTCTTGCCCAACTCCTGTCCAAAGCCCCACTCACCCCGATCTCTCTGGGCCTGCGCCTGCTTGGAGTAGACCCGCCTGGCAGGGAGGAGCTCCCTGAGTCTGGAAACACCTCACTCTTCCATCCAGCTTCACCAACCTGACCCCTACACCGAGGCCTAACCCCTTCAGAGTGAGGAGACTACCAGGAGAGGCAAGACCATCCAGAGCTGCAGACATTGAAGTTCTGGCCAGCACACACCACCAGGCCACAAGAGGAGATAGAGAGACCCCAGCTGCACCCACTGGAAGAAGATATGGGAAGAAGACAGAATAAGAACTCACTCAACAACAGAAAGACCAATATGATACCACCAGAATCTAGGGACTCCACACCAGCAAGATCTGAAAAGCTTGACACAAAAGATGAGGAAGAGATGGACCTCAAAATTATCTCGGGAAGATGATAGAGACCTTTAAAGAGGAAACAAGAAAAACCCTTAAAGAAATAGAAGAAAAAGCAAGTAAAAGATTACATGAAATGGAGGAAAAGACAGATCAAAAAATTCGAGAAATAAACAAATCTCTTAAAGAATCTAAAGAAACCCAAGAAAAAACAACAAAACAAGTGAAAGAAGCACTCGAAACAGTTCAAGACATGAAAGCTGAAATAGAAACAATAAAGGAAACACAGAATGAGGCAATGCTGGAAATGGAAAGGCTGGATAAATGATCAGGAACTAAAGATGTGAGTATAACTAATAGAATTCAAGAGACGGAAGAGAGAATCTCAGTTAATGAAGACTCGCTAGAGGATATACATTCATCGACCTAAGAAAATCTCAAGTCCAACAAATCCCTAACACAAAATATCCAGGAAAAGACCAAACCTAAGAATAATAGGTATAGAAGAAGGTGAAGAAACACTGCTCAAAGGTACAGAAAACATATTCAATAAAATCATAGAAGAAAACTCCCCCAACCTACAGAAGGACATGCCTATTAAAGTACAAGAAGCTTACAGAACACCAAACAGACTGGATCACAAAAAGAAGTCCCCCCTCCCCGACACATAATAATCAAAACACCAAATCTACAGAATAAAGACACAATGACACCACCAACAATAAATCCAAAACAAACAAGAACCAACAATCAATGGTCATTAATATTCCTAAATGTCAATGGTCTTAACTTACCCATAAAAAGATATAGGCTAACAGAATGGATACGAAGACAGAGTCCATCTTTCTGCTGTTTACAAGAAACACACCTCAACTTCAAAGACAGGTGTTACCTCAGAGTAAAAGGTTGGGAAAAGATTTTCCAATCAAATGGGCCCAAGACACAAGCTGGTATAGCAATCCTAATATCTAACAAATTAGACTTCAAACTAAAATCAATCAAAAGAGATGAAGAAGGACATTTCATACTCATCACAGGAAAAGTCCATCAAGATGAAGTCTCAATCCTGAACATCTATGCCCCAAACACGAAGGCAGCCACATTTGTAAAAGAAACATTGCTAAAGCACAAACGACACGTAAAACTACACACACTTATAGTAGGAGACTTCAACAAGCCCTTTCACCACGAGACAGGACCACCAGACAGAAACTTAACAAAAAACAAAGGATCTGTCAGAAGTTATGATCCAACTGGGTTTATCTATAGATATCTATAGAACATTCCATCCAAACACAAAAGAATATACCTTCTTCTCAGCACCACATGGAACCTTCTCTAAAATTGACCACATAGTTGGCACCAAAGCAAACCTCCACAGTTACAAAAGAATTGAAATAACTCCCTGTATCTTATCAGATCACCATGATTTAAAGCTAGAATTAAACAGTAATACAAATTGCAGAAAACCTACATATTCGTGGAAATTGAATAACACCCAATTGCACCATTCCTGGGTTGAGAAAGAAATAAAAAAAAAGAAATTAAAGACTTCCTAGAATTTAATGAGAATGTAGACATAACATACCCAAACTTATGGGACACTCTGAAAGCAGTGCTAAGAGGAAAGTTCATAGCACTAAGTGCCCACATGAAGAAACTGGAGAAAAGTCACACTAGAGAATTGACAGAACAACTGAAAGCTTTCAAGCAAAAAGAAGCAAACTCACCATGGAGGAGTAGACGCCAGTAGACGCCTCAAACTGAGGGCTGAAATCAATAAAGTAGAAATTAGGAAAACATTACAAATAATCAGTGAAACAGTTGGTTCTTTGAGAAGATCAACAAGATAGAAAAATCTCTATCCAAACTAACCAAAAGGCAGAGAGAGAACATGCTAATTAACAAAATCAGAAATGAAAAGGGGGATATAACAACAGACACTGAAGAAATCCAGAGAAATTTCAGGTCATACTTTGAAAACCTGTACTCCACAAAATTTGAAAATCTACAGGTAATGGACAGTTTTCTGGATAGATATCACTTAACAAAATTAAACCAAAAACAGATAAGCAGTTTAAATCGACCTATAACCACAAATGAAATAGAAGCAGTCATCAAAAGCCTCCCCCCCAAAAAAAAAAAAACCCAGGGCCAGATGGCTTCACTGCAGAATTCTACAAGAAATTCAAACAAGAGCTAATACCAGTACTCCTCAAACTTCTCCACACAATAGAAGCAGAAGGGACATTGCTAAACTCTTTTTACAAGGCTACAATCACTTTGATACCAAAGCCACACACAGATACAACTAAGAAAGAGAACTACAGACCAATATCCCTCATGAACATCGATGCAAAAATACTCAATAAAATATTGGCGAATCCAATCCAAGAACACATCAGAAAAATCATCCACCATGATCAAGTAGGCTTCATCCCAGGGATGCAAGGATGGTTTAACATATGAAAATCCATCAATGTAATTCACCATATAAACAAACTGAAAAAGAAAAACCACATGATCATCTCACTAGATGCTGAAAAGGCCTTTGACAAAATCCAACATTCCTTCATGATAAAGATCTTGGAGAGAACAGGAATAAAGGGAACATATCTAAACATGATAAACGCAATATACACCAAACCAATAGCCAACATCAAACTAAATGGAGAGAAACTCAAAGCGTTTCCTCTAAAATTAGCAACTAGACAAGGCTGTCCACTCTCTAAATATCTCTTCAATATTGTACTTGAAGTTCTAGCTAGAGCAATAAGACAAGAAAAGGGGATCAAAGGGATACAAATTGGAAAGGAAGAGGTCAAACTTTCACTATTTGCAGATGAATATGATAGTCTACATTAGTGACCTTAGTTCCACCAGGGAACTCCTACAGCTGATAAACACCTTCAGCAAGGTAGCAGGATACAAAATTTACTCAAAAAATCAGTAGCCCTACTATATACAGATGATAAATCCAATGAGAAAGAAATCAGGGAAACATCACCCTTCACAATATCCACAAGCAACATAAAATATCTTGGGGTAACACTAACCAAAAAAGTGAAAAACCTGTACAGTAAGAACTTTGAGACTTTAAAGAAAGAAATTAAAGAAGATACCAGAAAACAGGATAGCCAAAACAACTCTGTACAATAAAGGATCTTCTGGAGGCATCACCATCCCTTACTACAAGTTCTATTACAGAGCCATAGTTCTGAAAACAGCTTGGTATTGGCACAAAAATAGACAGATAGACCAATTGAATGGAATTGAAAACCCTCATATTAATCCACAGACCTACGAACACCTTATTTTTGACAAAGATGCTAAATCTATACAATAGAAAAAAGATAGCATCTTCAACAAATGGTGCTGGCACATCTGGATTCGGACATGCAGAAGATTGCAGATAGATCCATACCTGTCACCATGCACAAAACTTAAGTGCAAATGGATCAAAGATCTCAACATAAATCCAGCCACACTGAATCTTCTAGAAGAGAAAGTGGGAGATAACCTTGAACAAATAGGCACAGGAAACTGTTTCCTGAACATTATGCCAGTAGCATAGACACTGCGGTCTGCAATTAATAAATGGGACCTCCTGAAACTGAGATGCTTCTGAAAGGCAAAGGACACAGTAAGACAAAACAACCGCCCACAGAATGGGAAAAGATCACCGACCCCACATCTGACAGAGGGCTGATTTTCAAAATATACAAGGGTCTCAAGAAGCTAGTCACCCAAAACACCAAATAATGAAATTAAAAAGTGGGGTGCAGAACTAAATAGAGAATTCTCAACAGAGGAATATGAAATGGCTGAAAGACAAGAAAGTGCTCAAAATCATTGGCCATCAGAAAAATGCTACTCAAAACAACTCTGAGATACCACCTCACACCTCTCAGAATGGCTAAAATCAAAAATACCAATGACAATCTATGCTGGAGAGGATGTGGAGAAAAAGGAACACTCCTCCATTGCTGGTGGGAGTGCTAACTTGTAAGAACACTCTGGAAATCAGTATGGCGTTTGCTCAGAAAAATGGGCATCAGTCTACCTCAATATCCAGCCATTCCTCTCTTGGGTATATACCCAAATAATGCACGTTCATACAACAAAGACATATGTTCACCCATGTTCATAGCAGCATTGTTTGTAATAGCCAGAACCTGGAAGTAACCTAGATGCCCCTCAGCTTAAGAATGGATAGAACTAGAGGAAACCATCCTGAGTGAGGTAACCCAGTCACAAAAAGACAAATCACTGATATATCAATTTTAGACATAGAGCAAAGGATTACTAATCTATAATGCTCTTCACCAAAGAAACTAGGAAACATGAAGGACTCTAAGGGATAAATGGTCCC